TTATTTATGCACAAACAGTGGCCTATGTTGAATACTCTAAGGATGCTAGGTAATTATACATTAATTAATTAATTAATTAATTATATTTATTTATTAAATTAATTAGTTATTTAATTAATTAAATTAATTAATTAATTAATTAATTAATTAATTAATTAATTAATTATATTTATTTATTTATTTATTTATTTATTAATATAAATAGTACAATAATAGGTATATAAATAAAAAGAATAAACAAATATATATATAAATAAATAAATGAATAAACAACATAACTAAATAAATAAATAAATAAATAAATAAACTAAAAAAATAAATAAATAAATAAATAAATAAATAAATAAATAAATAAATATATATGTATATATACAGGATAATAAGAGGAAGGGAGCGTACATTAACAAAATCTAAGTATGAGGAAGATATATACATAAATAATCATACATCTATCTATGGATCTTTTTATAATAAATATACAAATAAATGGGGATATAAATGTTGTAAATTAACTGATTATAATGCTGAATGTACAGTAAGTTTATTTATTGCTGTTTATCCTGCTGCTGCTGTTGCTGCTGATGCTGCTGATGTTTGTTGCTTATCCCCATGATTTATGCTCGTGCTGCTGCTGCTGCTGCTGCTGCTGCTGCTGCTGCTGTTGCTGCTGTAGTAGGGGTTATAGGGGATTTAGATTGTGTAAATAGACAGAGTATGCGGCTGAATGCACAGTAGGGAGTTGCTGCTGCTGCTGCTGATGGTGCAGCAGCAGCAGCAGCACTAGGAGTAACAGCAGGAGTAGGTGTATGGGTAGTTGTTGTAGGAGAGAGGGAGAAGGAGGAGTAGCAGCAGCAGGAGAGAGGCAGGAGGAGCAGCAGCAGATAGGCAGCAGGAAGCAATAGATACAGACTACTGTCTCCTGTTAATAGAGGATATTTATTATTATCTTATTGCTGCTGCTGCTGCTGCTGCTGCTGCTGCTGTTTGTTTGTTTGTTTGTTTAGGGACGTCCTGAGGATAATGTTACGACGGAGTCTCCTGCAGCAGGAGAATCACCTCCTGCTGCTGCTGCTGCTGCTGCTGCTGCTGAAGGGGATACACCAGCAGCAGCAGCTGCTGCTGCTGCGGATACCTCTGCTGCAGCAGAAGCAGCAGCAGCATAAGCAGCAATCTCTGCTGCTACAATAGAGAGACATATATATATTTAACACTGCTAGCTAGCTGCTGCTGCTGCTGCAGCAGGAGCAGCAGCAGCAGTATTTCCTTGCTGCCTCACCTCCTCCCGTTGCTGCTGCTGCAGCAGCAGAAATAGCAGCAGCAGCAGCAGCAGCAGAAGCAGCAGCAGCAGACCAGATGTCGTTGTTGCTGAGTTAACGCAACAAACGCTAATTTGTTGTTGTTTTGTTTATTTTGTCTCTATTCCCTCCTTGCTGCTGCTGCTGTTGCTGCTGCTGCTGCTGCTGCTGCAGCAGTAGCAGCAGCAATTGTATCGACAGCAGCAAAGAGGCAGCCATTTGTAGGAGACTCTTTATAAGAGATTATATAGTAGGGTTTAGGGTTTAGGGTTTAGGGATCTATTTAGGGTTTAGGGTTTATGATCTAATTAGGGTTTAGGGTTTACTATCTGCTGCTGTATAATAAATATATTTATTTATAAACCCTTTTCCTCTTTTTGCTGCTGTTTGCTTCTTCTTATTTATATAAAAAAAAAACAACAAAAAAAAGGAGACAAAGAAAGATAAAAAAAAAAGGGTTTAGGGTTTAGGGTTTAGGGTTTACAGGAGGGGGGTACCAACCCTCCGAGCCAAGAAGCAGCAGATGCTGCTGTTGCTGCTGCTGCTGCTGCTATTCCTGCTTCTATTTACTTACAGCAGCAGCAACCGCAGCAGCAGCAGCAGCAGCAGCAGCTGCAGCTGCTGCTGCTGCTGCTGCTGCTTGAAACAATAGAGGGGAGACAATTGTCTACTAAAAAGGAGACACTTAAAAAGGAGACAAATAAATAAATAAATAAATAAATAAATAAATAAATAAATAAATAAATAAATAAATAAATATAATTATATTTAATTAATTATAAATAAATAAACATAAATATATTTATTTTATTTGTCTCCCTTTTCTGCTGCTGCAGAAAGGAGACACCAATTGCTGCATGCAGTAAGCAGCAAGAATATTAGCAGCACCTAGCTGCTCTTCTTGCTGCCTCTGCTGCTGCTGCTGCTGCTGTTGCTGCTGCTGCTGCCCTTGTCTTTATCGTTGTTGCTGCTGCTCTCGTCATTATCCTTGCTGCTGTTTTTGCTGCCGCTGCTGCTGCTGTTTTTCTTGCTGCTGCTGCTTATTTTCCTGCTGCTGCTGCTGCTGTTGCTTTTCCCACTGCTGCTACTACTACCACCTTTGCTGCTACCTTTCCTGCTGCTGCTGCTGCTGCTGCTGCTGTTGCTGCTGCTGCTGCTGCTAGGGTCTGCTTCCTCTAAGGATCTAAATGTTGCATCAAGGGAATGGAGATGCCCATACACCTGAGCTTCTTTATGTTTATGTTTTGCTGCTGTTGCTGCTAGCAGCTTTGCTGCTGCTCTTAATAGCCAAGCAGCAGCAAGTGCACCAGCAGCAGCAGCAGCAGCAGCACCAATAGCAGCAGAAGATAGACCCAATTTATTCCTACAACGATTAATAATATTAATAATATTACTACTACTACTACTGCTGCTGCTGCTATCTCCTGCCGCTGCTGCTGCTGCTGCTGCTGCTGCTGCTGCTGTCTGCTGTCTGTCTGCTGTCGGCTGAGAGCAGCAAAGACAGCAGCAGCGTATTTAGTAAAGAAGCATTAGAGGCAAATAAAAAAAAGCCAAGAAAAATAAATTAGGGTTTAGGGTTTATTAGGGTTTATATATAAGGGTTTATTAGGGTTTAGGGTTTATATATAGGAGGCAGAGGTTATAATGATAGCAGCAGCAGCAACAGCATGCAGGTGAGAGGCGACACAGCAGCAGCAGCAGCAGCAGCAGCAGCAGCACACACACACACACTGCCACTAGGGTTTAGGGTTTAGGGTTTAGGGTTTATCATTGTATGTATGATGTTCATAATAAGCAAGTTATTCTTTTTTATGACTCATATAAACCCTAATAAACCCTAATAAACCCTAATAAACCCTAATAAACCCTAAACCCTAAACCCTCGTTAGCACGTTTGTTTCTTTTCTTCGTCTTTTCTTCTTCTTGTATCATCATTAGCGTGAATAGCGCTATAATAAAAAACCCTAAACCCTAAACCCTAAACCCTAAACCCTAGATATTGTATATCTATGTGATAATAATAGGATTATAAACTCAATAAAAAAGGATATAAACCCTAAATAAACCCTAAACCCTAAACCCTAAACCCTAATATAATTGTGTATATATATATATATATATAAAGATGTCTATATATTTAACAAGACAGATGAGAAATATAAACCCTAAATCAAGAAGTGTTTGGGGTTTAGGGTTTAGGGTTTACTGTCCATATAATAATATAACAACATTATGTTCCTCTCTCCCCCATCAAGCATATAATAATAATAAACCCTTAAAAAAACCCTCAGCAGCAGCAGCAGCAGCAGCAGGAGCAGCAGGAGCAGCAGGAGGAGGAAGAACATCAATAAGGACGCAAGTAACATCATCAAGGACACAAGTATATCATGAGGGTTTATTAAGAACAGAATTTAGTCCTAAATTAGATATAAATAAACATTCTCCTCTTATTCCTATCTTTAGGGTTTTGACCCCTGAGGGTTTACTAGAGGAGGGTTGGTCCTCTCCCTTTAATAAGGAAGAAACTATTTATTTATATAAACAAATGGTACAATTAAGTATATGGGATAATATGCTATATAGTGTACAAAGACAAGGTAATTTATCTTTCCTTCTGCTGCTCCTGCTGCTGCTGCTGCTGCTGCTGATGGTTCTTGTTGTTGTTGTTGTTGTTGTTGTTGTTGTTATGTTTTTCTTTGTTTTTTAGGGTTTATAGATCTATACTTATGATTTTATTACTTATAAAAACCCTAAACCCTAAACCCTAAACCCTAAATTATATATCTCTTCCTTATTCTTTATATTGGATATATTCATACTATTATTCCTGCTGTTGCTGTTGTTGTTGTTGCTGCTGCTGCTGCTGCTGCTGCTGCTGTTTTTTTGCTGTTTTTTTAGTGTTTATATTGATGGTATTATATGTGTTTCTTATCTCTGTTGCTCCCGCTGCTGCTGCTGTTGCTGTTGCTGTTGCTGCTGCTGCTGCTGCTGCTGCTGCTGCTGCTGCTGGTGTACAGGCCGTTTCTCCTTTTATATACAGAATCAAGGAGAAGAAGCAACACAAATAGGAATTGGTAAAGCCCTACAACCAGAAGATCATCTCTTCTGTCAATACAGGTATTATTAGGGTTTAGGGTTTAGGGTTTAGGGTTTAGGGTTTAGTTTATTTATATATGTCTATATATAGAGAATTATGTGTATTATTAATAAAAAGGGTTTACTGTTCAAGATATATTAGTTAGGCTCTGTAGATGTTATCTCATTTTTTATTAGGGTTTAGGGTTTGGACGAAAATTAGGGTTTAGGGTTTAGGGTTTAGGGTTTAGGGTTTAGGGTTTAGAGATATGAATATGTACAGGGAATTGGGTGTATTATTAATGAAAGGGTTTACTGTCCAGGATATATTAGGACAATTATTAAGTAATAAAAGAGACGAAGGAAAAGGGAGACAAATGCCTATTTCTTATTCTAAGCATGATATAGGTCTACATACTATTTGTACTCCTCTTACTACACAAGTTTGTTTATAAACCCTAAACCCTAAACCCTAATTATTATTTCTATTCTTTTTTTTTTTTATTCTGCTTCTTTATCATTTTTATTCTTTTTACCCTTTTTTTTCTTTTTTTTACTCTTTTTGTTGCTGTTTCTCGCATATACCGCCCGCAGTGCAATTAGGGTTTAGGGTTTAGGGTTTAGGGTTTAGGGTTTAGGGTTTGTTGTTCAGGTACCCCACAGTATGGGTGCTGGTTATGCCTTCCGTCTTGGCAATGAGAAGAGAATTGCTGTCGGTTTCTTCGGAGAGGGTGAGGGTTTAGGGTTTAGGGTTTAGGGTTTAGGGGTTTGATACAATTCGCATTCCCTTAACCCTAAATATTCATAGCCTTTCTCAGGGTTTAGGGTTTAGGGTTTAGGGTTTATGACGTAGCAGCTATTGGAGTACAAAATAGAGTGATTGGGTTGAGTATTTAACAATTTCAAGGGTTTAGGGTTTAGGGTTTAGGGTTTAGGGTTTAGGGTTTAGGGTTTGGGGTTTAGGTGCTGCAAGCGAGGGAATTTCCATGCTGCTGCTAATTTTGCTGCAACATTAAAGGGAAACACTCTTCTTGTCTGCAGGAATAATGGGTAAGGGTTTATGTAAACCCTAAACCCTTTTTTAGGGTTTATTAGGGTTTAGGGTTTAGGGTTTAGGAATATTAATTCTATTACGTTGTACATGCTTATATAAAAATAAATATAAATTATAAATATAAATAATAAATTATAATTTTATATATTTATATTTATATTTATATTTATATTTTTGTATATATATGTATAATAAATAAAATATATGTATATATACATACATGAATATGTATATGTATATGAATATGTATATGTACATATACGCAATACGTACACCTGTACGTGACTAGTATGCAGGAGAATATATATAAATAAAATAAATAAATAAAATAAATATGTATATGTATATGTATACAGATACGTAATAAGTACACCCATACGTGATCAGTATGCAGGAGATGGTATAGCAATACGTATATATACATGAATATGTATATGTATACGTATATATCCATGAATATGTATATGTATATATGTATATATGTATATATGTATATATGTATATATGTATATATGTATATATGTATATATGTATATATGTATATATGTATATGTAAAGATACGCAAT